AAGAGAGCTTGCATGAAAACCTGAACCGGCTTGAGAAATTGTTGCAAGACTGGCTTTTGCCTATTTATGTGACTAAGTGCAATGTTCGGCGAGTCGGTGGAAGCCGATCTCCGAGCCGAAGCGTTTGCCAGCTAGATGACGTACCATTGCAGGAAGTAGACGCCCAGAAAGGCTTGGGTGTGTGGGTAACGGCTTTTCCAAAACCGTCGCTCCACTGCTCCAAGGTAACCAAGTCTGCGATGTCAGTCCTTTATCTTGTCAAGAGAGCTTTCTCTACCTTCGATGAGGACTGCTTCGTTGAAGTCTTTCGCAATTTCGTACGGCCACAGCTAGGGTTCGATATTCAAACGTGAAAACCCTGGACCTCCAAGGACCCCAGAATCCTTCAGAAAGTTCAAAGGCGGGCAACCAACCACGTTAGTGGACATGGTTCACTAACCTACGAAACACGGTTATCCAATCTCGGCCACTTTCCTCTGAGTTACAGACAGCTAAGAGGCGACCTAACACAAACATTCCATATAATGCGTGGTCAGGACTGCTGTCTCTTACCTGCAGGCTTCTTTGAATTAGCAACCACAAATAACCTTCGAGCTCATCCTCCCAAACTTCGTGTGACTGGCGGCGGGCTGGACACAAGAAAGTTCTTCTCCAACACGGTGGTCGAGGCGCGGAATGCTCTGTCTGCAGATATCGTCATGTCCACATCCGTCGAGGCTTTTAAGGGCAATTTGAATCTTTATGTCGCCACACATCATAGTGTAACTCATCCGATATCGTCTTAGAGTTCCGTTCTAACAGTTTATTAATAATAACACAACAGTTATAATACTACTGCCTGTATTTCAGTAACATTTGTTTTGATTATGTTATTGTCCATTGAATGAGAATGTTGGCGTTCACTTCGTCTCCCTCAGATAACTGAGATCTTACTAATATTCTACGGCGTATTTAGTAATGTTTATCTGCTTGTTTGTCTGCTCGGCTTCGGAGAGTTTCTGTAGCTGTTTTATGCTTCTTTTTACAAATTTTTGAGTAAATTCGCTTCCCTAGAACAGACAGTGAGTTCAGAGGTTCAACACCAACTTTTCCCTCAAATAAACTGAAGTAAGCTTAAAAAGTGCATACTACTTACGCAGTCGTTTTTCGACTGCAGTTTTTATCGAAAATATATGCGTTCAAAAGCCATCATCATGGCGAGTCCGAAATGTCATCGTACCATGCCGTCTGATCATCAATATTGCAACCCCACCTAGGTAAGCCATCCTAATCGTTAACGCATTTCAGAATTGCGGTCAAAATTTCATGAGCTCGGTCACATGGAAAACGGGACGCCCTGTTAATGAGCGGCCAGGACTGATGTCTATTACCTATTGATTTCTTTGATTTTGCAACCACAATGAACCTCCGAGATCATCTACTTAAACTACATGTGACTAGCGCCAGGTTGGACATGCGAAAGTACATCTTTTCAAACAGAGTAGTCGAGGCTTGGAATGCACTGCCTGCATATGTCGTCATTTCCATGTCTATCGAGGCTTTTAAGCATAAGTTGGACCAGCATACCATTAAACGTCATAATGTCACCTGACCGATATTGTCCTAGCATTTCGTCCTAACAGTTTGTTAATGTTATTATATAACTGCCTGTATTTCAGTAATGTTTGTTTTCTTATTTATTATCCGAAACCTGTTGAATGTGAATGTTGGCATTCAGTTCATCTCCATCAGAAACTGAGATCGCACCAGTCAATCATAGACTGACTGATGTACAACACATTTAGTAATGTTAGTGTTTTCAATACTTGGGACAATTCGTTTATCTGACTGGTTTCGAAAAACTTCTGCAGCTGTTTCATGTCTCCATTTTCAAGGTTTTTTATATAATTCGCCTCCTTGTAACAAAAAGGGAGTTCAAAAGTTCAACGCCTATGTTTCCCTCAAATAAACTTAACTGGAAAATCACGTTTAGGTAATCGTCCCTGCACGCAACCTGCTTCGGAGCACACAGTGAAAACCACCAGTCACGGCGATCGGACTGTCGTGTGTCCAAAGATGCAACAGGGTAGGTAGATGTCCACCAATGAATTACAGCACCGTCAGCGTTTAGTGCAATTAAATCTGTAGACCACTTATCAGTGTTAGAAAGCTTAGGGGCCTGCGCAATTAAGACGAATATAATTAAACTGTTGGCGTCGTCTGCCTCACCTGCAAAGAACGAGGTGCCTACAACTCCGGCTTCTGTCTCCTGTAACTCAAGTCTCTTCTTCTTTTGCTGCCTACCTACTTTTCACATAAAAGGCTCTTCGCGGCTTCTATAGGCCAGCCCCGTCTAAACTGCCTTACATCCCACCCCACAGCACATTAATTCTCAGACTACGAATAAACTCACGCCACATAGATCCCCCCAACCTGCACAGAATAGCACCTTACGAGCAAGTGGGAAGCATGTTCCTCGCTTCAAACTGGCGCATGACCTGCTCACGATGACATGCGTGGCACGCGTAGATGGGCTACTGAACTCTGTCAGTCACTTGGGCCCAATCCTCACATCAGACGACAAGAAATGCTCGGACAGTGTACAGGTGCCTGGGAGGGGAAGGTCGAAAGGTCTATAACCGTTTGCTGGGCCAGTATCAGGCCCTCGCAGCCTCGTATGCGCTGGCAGTTCCCTGACACCTAGTTCCCTGCAGGTAGATGTGTTTGGGCTCTCGCTAGGTAAACAGGTTTCTGGACATGGCTGCCCAGTCATCCTTGTCGCTCTAGCCCCTGTTGTGGCGTTTGTTTTTCATGACGAAAAATCCTAGTCATTTGCTGTGTGGACTAGAGGGTGTGGTGGCGCGCCTACGGGCGGATCCGACCGTGCCATCAACCTGCGTCCTCTCCCCCGCCTGCGGTCTTCTTAACCCTGTCTTTGCACCGGGTCCAAGTAGGGAGTGGGGAAGAGAGAGTGCGATAGATGCTGTGCAAGTCTACTATCACTATAAACTAACTCATGCAAAAGTCACGTCCCCGCTCCACCTTGCCATTGAGCACATGGTGGATACCGTCGAAACCGACTGTCGAACTCTCGGGTGGCGGAGGAGAGACAGTGAGGACAACTCTGTGGACTGCAATCTCACAACACCCCAGTGTATGTCCCTCACCATAAACAACCCTGCGCGCTTCATGATATCACGATGCGATAAAAACTGTGGCTTTGGAGGCTGCCAACTGACGGTATAACATGACCTTTCAGAATGGAGGGTCAGGCTGCAATTACTCTTTCTTAATGTGGTCTCTGTTGCACTTCCACTCAGACGGAATCCATGCCGCCCCTTCTTGTTTCTGTGATATCAGAGTGAATCGTGCCCAAACCAGGTGTGATTGACTAGCGTGTGGACTCACGCCGCGCCAGTTGTTATAAAAAATCCTGTTCACTGTACGTCTTGGAGCAGAGGAGGTGGTCGTACGTCTAGATGCGGGTTCGTGCCCACCAAACACCTGCGTCCGATCCGAGCCCCTGTCTGCTTAATTCTGCTTTCTCACCGGGTCCACGTGATGGAGGAAAGAGAGTTTGCGGTAGGTGTACACAAATCTAGCCTCCTTTTAAAAGCGTTTACGGCTCCCGACATACCAACATGCTCAGGCAAAGCATTCCAAGCTGCAACCACTCTGTTGGAAAAGAAAAACTTCCATGCACCAGTCACACGTAGTTTGAGTGGATGGCACTCAGGTTATTCGTAGTCACCGACTCGAAGAAGTCTCCGGATGCGAGGCAGCAGCCCTGATTGCACACGATGCGGAAAGCTTGTATAAGGTCCCCACGTAGCTGTCTGTAACTCAAAGGAAGGTGGTCAAGATTAGCTAATCGTGTTTCGTAAGGTAGTAATCACCGCCCAGATACAAGTTTCGTTGTTCGCCTTTGAACTCTTTCGAGTATGCCGAGGTACGTAGCGTCCAGGGTAGCCATGCTTAGATAGCAAACTCCAGATGCAGTCGCACAAAAGTTTGAAAGACCTTGGCAAAGCAGTCTTCATCAAAGGAGGAGAACGCCCGTTTGACGAGGTATAGAATGGACATCGCCGACTTTGAGCATTGCAGCGAAGGCTGAAGTGAGGTTGTGATCCATACATCCAAGTCCTTCTGGACGTCGACTTCTTGCAGTCGTTTGCCAGTCAGACGGTAGACCGTGCGGTTAGGAGAACTGGTTCCGCCGACGCGTAGGAAGTTACACTTGTTTACGTTGAACGGTAAAAAATTAATTAAAAACTAATTTAAACGCAAACTGCCATCCTGCGTCTGACTGTCCGTGGAATACAAAATGAAAGGCGACGTTCGGCACGGCCGAACTGACGTCTTTCGGCGCAGAGGCTTGTCCGGTTAGAGTTACACCATTCAGAATGAGGGGGATCGTACGTTGTGTCTCGCGTAGATGATGGTAGTTTCTTGTTGCCCCAAAGGGCCCGAAACTCTCACCTGCGCCTCCCTGAAACTAGGCTTTGCCTAACGGTCACACCACGGTATCGGTCTCAGCCGGCGGGCCAAACCAGATTACAATATCCGGCACTTTGGCGTGTGTGTTGTGTGCGGCTCCTTGTCCATTCACCCCCAAAATTAAAACAACCTACGTAGTGAGCGACGATGCTGTTCAGTTCAGTTCAGTTTATTGAGGGAAATGTAGGTCTTCACCTTTGAACTCCCTATTTGTTTACAAGCAACTGCAAAATCTCAAAAACTCGAAAAGGTATCATAAAGTAACAAATAATCGGAAAAGCGTCAGGTCTGTACAGACAAACAAACTGTCTCGAATTTTAGTGGTACGAGCAGTTGTAGAGCTGTCGTTTCGAGTGCAGCTAAATAAATAATATGTCCGGGGACAAAATTTGCATATGTGCATGTCAGTAAGCGTAGGCGATGGGTTTGTACAATAATAAGTTCAATTTACAATGTTACTGAAATATAGCAAGTAGTATTATAATAGCGGAATTTGTCGAGGTTACAGAGATCGGGGTTTTAATTTAGTGCACACTGCTACACAAATCCAGCTTCCTCTTAAAAACCTCGACGGAAGCAGACATAACGACATCCACAGGCAGGGCATTCCAGGCTTCTACCACTCTGTTGGAGAAGAAGAACTTTCGTGTGTCCAGTCTGGCCCCTGTCACACGTAGTTTGAATGGATGGCCTCGTAGATTTGTGGTGGTTGCTAACTCGAAGAAGTCACCCGGTACGAGGCTGCAGTCCTGACCGCGTATGATACGGAAGGCTTGTATCAGGTCACGCCGTAACTGCCTGTAACTCAAGGGAAAGAGATCAAGGTTAGCTAACCGCGTTGCATATGGTAGTGAACCCTGTCCTGCCACAAGTTTCGTTGCACGCCTTTGAACCCTTCCAAGGATGCTGAGGTCCTTCGCGGTCCAGGGTTTCCAAGCTTGGATAGCAAATTCTAGTTGCGGACGCACAAAAGTTCGAAAGACTTTAGCGAAGCAGTCTTCGTCAAAGGCAGAGAAAGCCCGCTTGACAAGGTAGAGGACTGACATTGCAGACTTGTCTATCTTCGTGCAGTGCAGCGAGGGTTTGAGCGAGGTCGTAATCCATACTCCCAAGTCCTTCTGCGAGTCCACTTCTTGCAGTGGTATAAAATTTAGGCAGTAGGCCATATGGTTCGGAGAGCGAGCTCTGCCGACTCGTAGAATATTGCACTTTTTCTCGTTGAACGGCAGAAGCCAGGCCTTTGACCACTGTTGGAGTCGATTTAGGTTCGCCTGCAGATGCTCTTCGTCATCTGCAGTTCGAATGTCGCTCCAGAGCTTAATGTCATCCGCAAACATGGCGACACCACAATCCAGTTCACTCACGCAATCGTTGACGTAAATGATGAACAAAGTAGGGCCAAGAACTGAGCCTTGGGGGACACCGCTTTCAACGGCAACCTCCGTCGACTTCTGGCCACCGACATGGACAGTTTGACAACGGTCTAACAGGAAGCTTTGAATCCATTTTAAGAGGTTACCCCTAACGCTTGTTCGGCTCAGTTTGTGCAGGAGTCGCTGATGTGGGGCACTATCAAATGCCTTTTTAAAGTCGATATAGACTACATGCAGCGCACTGCCTTCATCAACTGACCGAGTCCAACGTTCCAAACAGTTGAGCAGGTTAGTCACGCAAGACCTGCCACTACGAAACCCATGCTGCGCATCAGATAATAAATTATGCTGCTCTAGGAAGCGCATCAGCTCTCGCTTGATTATTTTCTCCATGAGTTTGCAGCAGATGGAAGTGAGGCTAATTGGCCTGTAATTGTTTGCAGAGGCCTTGCTGCCTCCTTTATGCAGTGGTGTGATCCGCGCAGATTTCCATAAACGTTGTAATAAAAACCTTTTACAGTAGACAATTGGCTTCTTACGAAAGTACAAACAGGCATCCATAATCGCGTGATTTTGCCTTTTTCCTTGTTCATTAGGGTCTGTTTCCATAGTTTCTCTGATAGCAGTGTGCGTCACGGCACGTTGCCGTGAAATTTCACAGTTACTTTATTTGACGCTTACTATTCTTCTCTCCTATTAGTTGTTCGTTCAATTGGTCCCCAGACTGCCACAAATCTGCAGGCGGGGCATATTGAATAGCAGTTATAAATTACAGTTATTCAATTGCAGTTATCAGTACCTGAACAAGAGGCCAAACTGTCGGGGATTGCTGACAAAAGCACATGTACAAAAGTTAAAAGAACTTCGAAGTAACAAAAATATCTTGGTAACTAGACCGGACAAAGGAATAGGCGTTGTTTTAATGAACAGATCGGACTACGTAGCGAAGATACAGTCCATATTATCAGACCAGAATAAATTCAAGAAGGTAGACAAAGAAGAAGATTGCACGGACGAAGTGGAGGCGAAGCTGACTGACTGTCTAAGACGGCTCCACGCAGGGGGTTACATAAGTGACCGTAACCTCGATCACCTCTGACCAGTCAGCACACATATTCCTAGACTATATGGTCTACCTAAGATCAAGGAAGGTCTGCCAGTCCGTCCGATTTTAGACATGCGAAACTGTCCGTATCATGCGATAGCAAAGTGGACAGCAGAGAAACTCAAGCCGGTTCAGCATCAGCTAGCACCACGCAGCTATCGAGATACCTTCGAATTCATTAACCACATTAAAAACCTTAACCTCAACGGCATGATGGTGTTCTCACTGGACGGCTAATCACTTTTTACAAATGTTCACGTTACTGAGACATTTGATTACATCTGTGAATTTCTATCAAACAATCAGCAGAAAATAGGAATTCCGACGAAGACATCCGAGAAACTATTACTAGATGCACATTAAATTTGCAGTTCCTGTTTGACAGCCAACTCTATAGACAAATAGACGGTGGTGCTATGGACTCGCCTCTTGGACCTCTCCTAGCCGATGTCTTCATGGGCAAATTGGAGAGATTCCAACTAAGCGATCAGATCGAAAAACTTAAACATTACGGCCGCTATGTTGATTCTATCTTTGCAATTGCCACAACAGAAACCGACGTAGATGCCCTCTAAAACGCTGTAAATCAGGCACATTCCTCTATCAAATTCACGTTAGAGGTCAAAACGGCCGGTTCGCTAACTTTCTTATATGTTCTTCTAAGCAGAAGACCTGACGGGATTGTCAGAAGATGCGTCCACCAGAAGAAAACCTGGTCTGGGCAATACAAAAACGTCACTAGTTTCATATCCCTACAACAAAAACGAAATCTAGTCCGATGTTTGGCACAAAAAGCTAGGAAAATTTGCTCAACAGATAGCATCGAGGAGGAACTAAGAAAAATCCAGGACTTTCTTCGTGAAAATGGGTACCCAGACAGGGTTATCGCAAAGAATATGGTCAAACGACCGGTAGAACCCCGCCGCACCGACGGCCGAAAAGAAAACCCTGTTCCTTAAAATCCCTTTTCAAGGGGACGCTGCGAGTGAACTCCTAAGGAGACGCCTTGACCAAGCTGTTTCGCGAACCCTCCCAGCGGCAGGGGTCAAGTATCCTTCTTTACTAAGCCCATTTTACGCGGAGAAGGCAGGGATAAGTTGCCAACCCAGTCCACTTCAATGTGCATCTATTCCTTCACTTGCTCCTGTGGAGCAGGTTATATTGGTCGCACGAGTCGGCGCTTATCCTAGAGAACACGGGAACACCTCCCGGCATGGCTGAGAAAAGGCGAATCTAGGAGCATAAGCAGCGCCGTTCTCGCGCATGTGGTCGACTCCGGACATCATGTAGACCCCAATGAAGCTTTTTGCGTGATCTATAAGGTCCCATCGAACTATCCTAAACGACCGGGACAGCGCATGTTAACAACAGCCGCGGCAGCCGCTATCAGGTTGCGAAAACCAATCTTGTGCGCACAGAAGAACCACGTTCAGGCTCCGCGCCCACAGTGGTCGAAGGTCGACTAACGGTGCAACCCTCCCCGCGCACTTCCGCCCACACCCTGCCTCTGACAGTGACTGCTATTACCCTCCTTCACCACATTACCACACCCAGCCCGTGTTCTGAGGCGAACTTTAATCGACGTATCTTATCACTAACGTGTTGTACTTCTACCCCCTTCCCATATAATTGTACTCACCCGACGAGAATTTATCGAGAGCTATGTATGCTCGCCACCTTGTCTTCTAATTACTACAATTAGAATTTTCACAAATCTTAAACAGTGCCTTTTATTTATGAAGACTTTCTTTTTGTTCACTATTCAACTAACACACTCGCTTCCGATGCTTTTTGTTAGCATAAAAGAAGAATTTCATCGGAAATATATCTACTTTCTGAGTGTTAATATATGCATTTCGCTTTTCCTGCGGGGTGGCGCCCCATCCGTTAAACCGCTATTAGCACTATCCCCGGACTACACAAGCCTGGGGTTACTGGTTGCGATGTGGGGCTACACAAACTACCCTTGCCACCAGAAATTTCAATGAACGATTGAGTCGAAGACAATTATATGTTGTAGAATACTTGGGTTATGTCGATTGCAAGAACGGGTACTTCTACAAATAACCGTACTAACTCGAAGCACAGAAGCTGAAAAATGCTATCACCAACACTTGACTTCCTGTATTGCATTGACTTGTTTCGGAAATCATTACCTTGATTATTATCTGAGGTTCACATACCAGAAACCGCAAGGAAAACGCTGGTAGACCGCCCTGAGAGGCTGAACCCTCCGACGTTGCATCATGCAGCAACAGTAACATAAAGGAAACACGTGTCCTGTTTCTTACGTAGCACCAATGTCGGGAGTACAATAAAAATCTCGTCATACATATGCACAGTGCGTGACCCATCTCATGAAATGTTGGCCAACATCCTGGAGTGAGTTTTCGATTAGGAAGGATTACTTAAGTGGGGTTGTTATACTGATTGTCATGCAGCGTAACCCTATAACATTTCGGACTTGCCAGGATGTCGGCTATTGAATGCATTTCTTTTTGTTCTCCAGCAGAAACCACACTCGGTAAAAAAATTACTACTTACGTAGCACGCATTTTTTCCGTCAATCTTCGATGGTCTTATGAAGTCAAATATATTTTACAGAAAACATGCACAAAAATATGCTTTCTTTTGCTCATTTGGTATGAACTCACATTGTCTTCATATTTTATGACCGACGCAAGTGTATATTTAGGTTTTAAAAAAGTTTCTTATTATGCGATTTTTAAGACCGTGCGATGTAAATACATGCAAGACCGCACATGTCCGTTTACTAATGCTCCTCATGAAATGTAAAACACAATCCAGATCCACTGCAAAATTTCATGAGCTTTATGTGCTATCTTCTTAAAGTCATAGAGGAATATATGATCTTGCGTACGCGGAAAGCACGCACCCTGTAGACTGAAACTGCTTAACGCCGATGCAATGGCAGATCAGGCTGTAAATTATTCGGGAATTGGTAAACTTTTTTAAACCCTAAATATACACTTTCTTCGGGCATAAAATATGAAGCCAATATAAGTTCATACCAAATGAGCAAAAGAAAGCATATTTTTGTGCATGTTTTCTATAAAATATATTTGAATTTATAAGACCATCGAGAATCAATAGGAAAAATGCATGCTAATTAAGTAGTCATTTTTTGTCGAGTGTGGTTTCTGCTGGAGAATAAAAAGAAATGCATTCAATAGCCGACATCCTGGCAAGTCCGAAATGTTATAGGGTTACGCTGCATGACAATCAGTATAACAACCCCACTTAAGTAATCCTTCCTAATCGAAAACGCACTCCAGGATTTTAGCCAACATTTCATGAGATCGGTCACGCATTGTATACAGTTGAAGTGAAATGTGTTCTTTAGGAAAAAGAACTATATTGCGTTAATTTTCGTCAATGGCTTCCCAGGTTGTCGTTAGACTCAGATGGAGAGCAGATTTGCCAGAGACAGTATAAATCCGTAATAATTTTGAAAATCTATAATTGTTTGTCGTTTACGCCGACGAGCAGCCGCCATATGTGTCAGTTTGTTCTGATTAGCTTTCGCCACTTCCATTTCCACTTGAGACTTGAGACCAGCACGACCAGCATAGACAAGGAAAACTGGAATGGTCATTTCGAGCTTATTAGCAGTCGTCCGTCAGTCATGCCCGACCCCGAAGCGTGGAACACCTTGGGCTCAATCCCGCGACCTGTTATTTAAGAGTCCAACGCCTCTAACCGCTGAGCCACGGACTCGTTGTCCTGTCGGTTACGATCGGGAATGTACTTTGGTAATGGGGCGCTCAACGATCGTTTTTACGGAACTCACTCGTCCCCTTGTGTCTTAGGGCTCTCTCTCTCCCTCAGGCCCAACCAGCATACGCGGCATACAACCCCATATGCGGGTTGTTGCATGACTCATCCGGGTGCATAGCTTCGAGAAAATCTTACGCTATTTTTGAATCACATTCTTGATATTTGTTGTCCCCGTGAAACTTTTATGGTCAGGCCTGACAGAATCTCCTCACCATACCTCAAACACTTGAGTCGTCGCAAAGAAGCCTTCTACAAACTAAGTCAGCGTGATAAGGTGAAGGATATCAATGTTTTAAT